GGCTACTTCGGAGAGCCGGGAAGTCAAGGGAGAACCGGAGGTGAGGCTTGTGGCGAGGCCCCGCTTAATGTCGCTTCAAGTCTCTTGGCAACTGTTGTACGTTGTTGTCGTTGTTGTTGTCCCACGGAATGCTTGCAGTAACACTAACACGTGTTGCGGTAGACGAGCCCATTTGCCGGCGCAACCAGCGCTCCCGGATCCGGCGGCAGCCAGACGCTCAGGACCGCTACTGGCGCCGCAGCAACCGCCACCACCGGAGTCGGGAAGATCAATGTTACGCCTGGTGCGACAAACACGATAGTCGGTGGAGCTAGCACGAGCACTGCTGCCGCTGGTGGAGCTGGTGGTGGAGGAATAAAGACTTCGACCATGGCTGGCATCGCAGGGGGCGCCATCGCCCTCATCATCTTGCTGGCATTCGCATTGTGGTTTGCTTACAAGTCCGGAAAGAAGAAGGCTGGCGCGGCTGTCTTTCCCACCTCTCAGGTCCCCCCTCCACAGCCTTATCACGGTCAGGGCCAAGTCGGCGGAGCACAGCAATATCACGGCCATGGCCAAGTAGGAGGAGCACAGCAATATCATGGTCATGTCCAGGTCGGTGGAGCACCACCACCACCGCCATCCACAACGGTTACTCCTCACCATACCGGCGGGACAGCACCACCCATGTATCCTCCCAACCGACCACCGGTTCCAGCACAACACGATCCAACTGCAACGATTCCGGAGAAGGATGCGGACTACACGCGGGAGGAGTTGGATGGAAACCCATACCACGGAGTCGTGCATGAGCTGGCCGGGGCTAAACTTAGGGACCACAAATAGAGGTTGGAGTGAAATGGCACTCACGCCTGGTTATTTGCTTTCGGTATGTATATACGTTTGTTCTGCCTGTTGTTAGTTCTTCTTTGTTGAGATGGCCGTACATAGAGGCAGCCCGGGAGGTAGAGATTTTCAAGCTGTTCACTCCATGTATCTTACCGTAGACTTTATTTTGAAAGTGTGTTACGTGGGAGCTCGAGGATAACAACCGTCATCATATCCAGCGGAACTGATCTTCATGTCATATCCTCCTTTGTGCCAAGTCCAGCTGCTCCGCCCGGGTGCATGATCGATCGCATGCAGGTGTCGCTCTCGTTTCGCAAACATTCTCCTCGGTCTGCTACCAACTCAACTTCCACGTCGGATATTTATGTACCTTCAGGCGATGCAGCACCATGCCATCTCAAAGCCACGATCACCACCCGCTGCAGTGAAGAAATGGGTTGCGCTGCTGTGGCCGGTACATACTTGTGCCACTTTCTGTCAGACATGAGACGGGGTTTCCGTTCACAACCACTACGAGCGTCGTGGCGGACACGGTTGACGGCAGCGCGCGGCTACCTCGTCAGTAGCACACCCCACCACCACCACCATTCCGCCGCCGCTGCCGCCACAAAACAAAGATACTCTGAGCTGTACAGTACATACGAAAGATGACATGCCAGGATGACCAAGGCTAGAACGATCGCTGACAACAGATATATTGACGGAGGAAGATTTGCCTTGACTCTCGGCGGCAACGTCCGAATATCCATGGGGATTCGAGACGCGAAGGGGTTGTTGTTGGCAACGAAGGGCAAAGATACGGCAGCAAAGGCGCAGCGCGGAGGTGTGGGCAGTACGGTAGTTAGCATGGATCGAGTCGTGTATGTCCCGGTGCCACTTGAGAATGAAATTTCGCAAGAGAAGTGGCTTCACGGCGGGGAAGTGGGATGAGGCGGCGTGCAACAAGCGGCGTGCAACAAGCGCCATGTACTAATACCTGTCACTTGAGAATGAAGCAGCGGGACGGGTCGGTGCTGGCCATCGCAAGAAGTCGATCGCCACGAGGAACTTCTACTAGCTCGAGACGGGCCACGCGCTGATTTCACTATACCCGAAGAGGAGTGGAAGGTGGAAAAGTAATACTGACGGTGTAATCGGATGCAGGAAGATCCCCGGCAGAACATCTCGAGGAATTGCACGAGATGGGGGATGACGCAGGCCATCCTGTGAGCGGAGGCGATGAGGTGCAGGAGGATGAAGAAAAGCCAGCTGCAGATATCTGAAGGAAAAATGCAGCAAAACTATACGAGCCTTCAAGCCTGGGAGACATGGATATTGGCAGGCCGACCTCACTGAATAGCGGGGTAGAAAGACAGCGCGGCGAACGCCGTTTCCTAGCCGTCCTCGGAGTGGGAGCGCAAATATAATGGGAAGTCTGTCTCTTTTTATTTGTTTGCTTTTGTTTGGTTTGTGAGGTGGGTTCCTTTGCTGACGGTGCTCGAAAGTGCTGTACCATTCGAGGTACGGGAGAGGCAGGAGCAGAGTGTAATTAGCCGTGATGGCCGAAACCAACCGAATGCAATGAAGAAACAAAACAAAACTGTACTCGAGTGAATTCCGGCTCTCAAGTTCTGACTATACTCGGCCCTCACACTAGGTCCATAGATGATAGCTGTTGTTAGAACCAACTATCCGCAGAGTCTGCCCTGCGCTCCCTCTCTCCCTTCAAGATCGAGCGCTATATTTGCACCCCGAGACAACAACAACATCGGATTGACACGGAGGCGATCGGCTCGTGCGACGGTGTGATCCTTCTATCTGTTGAGAAGGTTTTATTCCGCTGGTTCCGCAGCCTGCAGATCTGTCACTAACGGATCAGAGTGGCGGAGAGAGAGTGCAGTACTGCCCCACGCCTGTGCTGTGGCACATAACCACGGGCGGGGGGCTGAATTCTACTGACAGAAAGAAGTTAGTCCTGCAGTAATAGCTCTGCCTGGTGGCAAGATTGAACACGTCTGCCCGCGTACGGGAGTGATGGCAGTTCGAACCGACGAGAAAGAAAACAAGGTGCTGGTTGGCAAAAGATTGCCCAGTACGTAGGTCGGTTTGCTGGCAATCTAGACCGCGGCTTGTAAGAAAAGAAAAGGGGGATGATGTGATTGCCAAAATATTTGTGAAGGTTTCGATTCCCGTTGCTCGGATTCATGCGTGGTGTTTGCTCGTTTCGTGGCCCTCTTGTTTCAACACCGGTGGCAGGCGCTTCTTCAGGTAATATATATGCATGGAAACTCATGCATTATGCGGACACCTCCGGCACACGCTTGGGATATGCCTAGGAGAGCGGGATAGCTTGACAGCTTGAACAGGCTCACTTGATAGCTTGGTCATAGCGCTGTGATATCCAGTTTGTTTGATTTTTCGCCCTGCGCAATATGGCGCAGCCGGCATCGAGTGGCACTTACAAGGTACCATTGTTAAACCTGTTGGCATGGAACTGCTCCGTGTGAACACTTCCGGAGCATACTTCCCTTCCAGTGAAGCTCTTGCATGGAACTTTCGAGAGCTGACAAAGGGGCTGGTTATCAGCTGCTTCAACTACCTAGATCATCCGCAATCGTGATATCACATCCGTATAGTCCATTGATCGTGGGTTTCTGACAAGTGTTCAACATTGGATGAACTATTCTTGTGGTGAAAGCCGCAGCTCACACCGCAATCCGTTTCTATGGTTGAGACAGCTGGCAAACCAACGTGGAGCTCCTCCTCAGGCCAAGGCAGACCTCGCGATTGTCTCATTCCCGCAATTGCTTCCGAAGCAAAAAGTTCAATCGGAGATTCCGGAAGATCTGTCCACCAGTCCGACGGTGACGAATATATCAACTAGGTGGCAAGGCTGCGAACTGTCAAGTCACTGGACACCAGTTCAACCGGGCCGAAACTCGGATCGTAGCCTCAAACTCTATATTCAAATTCAGTTCACGGATTACCAGATTTGTTCACCGCGGAGAATTGTGTCGTGTAATGTTCGGTGGCTGAACGAGTGGTCGCCGAGATATTGGAGCCTACTGCTCGGATGAACCTCGCCACTTGGTATGGGGCCAATCTGCCACTATCAGGTACATCAGGTCAGAGCAATCGTAACGGTAAAATACCAGAGAAGTAGTACTTACTGGCGGCTCACCAGTACATACGGCAAAGGTTGGTCTCGAAAAAAGAACTGAAACAACTACAGTCTGAAGAATATCACAGCAAAAACCATTTCTTCTGGAGGTGGCCCCGCCCAGAATAGTATTATCTGACTGCTTGTACGTCTTTATGTACGTCGGAGCATTTAGCGCTTCGATCCACACCTCACGGCAGTGTGCGCGGGTAAAGCGTTTCCGACGTGAGAAACTGTGATATGGGCCCAAAAACACTCACGCAAGAACTCGTCAATCATTGGATCAGCAAAAACATGCCCCAAGACGTTTCGGAGTTCAAAAAGAGGCCGCCTCATCCAGTAGCATTTTTACGTTTCCGATCGATCCCCCGGGCTATATCCAGCAAGATGTGGATTTTGGAGGGGCCAGCTTAACGCCTGAAAAATTGAGTCTTATGGTCTAATTCTGGCGATGGGGAAGAGGTCATCTAGTGTAACTGGGTGATGCCAGCGCTTCGAACGGTGATGATGGAAGCGGGAGGGAAACAATGACGGTTGCCAGAAACAAAATGGTTTTGTTTATTGGTCTGTAGGCTTGGCCTGAAACCGGGGCAATCGCGTTGTGCCGAACGGTAGGAGTATGCATTGACTAGCATGGTGGCTATGGCGGACTTTTTATTATGCATGCACCACTCACTGCCGCATGATACGATCCTGCACATCTTCACACCTCCACGTATGTCGTTGGCTGCCGCGAAGTCAGCAGGTGCTTTCGTACACACCATTCGTCCCGGACGCACCCTTCTACACCCATTTAACCGCCGAGGAGCCCGCCGTGCGCATTAAGGGCACGCACGCAGATTCCGCATGAAGTGGCGGGTCAAGCCTCCAGGACTGCTCGAACTGGCCTCCACCCAGCCATATCGCTGCCTAAGCCCGCAACAGTTGAAGGGGGGGAAAACTTAAAATATTCATGCAGGATATCGCCTTGATCGACTCGTTTGCACTCCACCTCTCTCTCGCCAGGCTGTCATAAACGAGATAATCAGATGCGACGTGGACCGAAGATTCAACGCCCATTTATCTCCATCTCGATCTGTTCTCGATAGTCCTCCCGGCTTGACACCGCTGAAACTGGAAAGCGGTGAGTACCCGCCCTCGGATACCAGAGATGGAACCGGCTGATGTTCTGCTCTAGAGTCTAGGGTACCTCTCGAGGCGTCGTTGTTTCTAGGAGTGGCAGTTGTGCTTCACGACAACGAAAAGCAATAACTTACTTTCACGGTTTCCCAGTATGCCCCGTACGTTTCATCTTTCGCTGCCGCACGATTTGATCAGATGGTACTTACGCCATGTACTACAGTGATATATAGGGTCTCGGGTCAAGGCGGCATTATCCGCAGATCCAACCACTTCCAAAGCAAAACTAGCGGCTGTACCTCAACCATGGATCCAACTCCTCCTCCACAAGGTTCCCCCGCGAGCAGTACTACCTTGACAGACGGCTTCTTCCACTGTCCTTCTCAGGGACAATATCCTGCAGTTTCCCTTGAACAGCAGTGGCCGCGCCACATAGTCGACTCACCAGTACCCTTGGATATCGATCTCGGTTTCGACGATTTCCAAAACTTCGCACAGCACCCGAATTTAGTCAATTCCGATCCAAACGAATTCTCATGGCAACAGTCACAGCAGTTTTCTGGGTATCTGCTCGAAGGTGCGGGCGATGAGTACTCGGTCTCGTGTAGCAACAACAATCGAACGGACGAAGACCCATGGACACCACTTCATGCGCTCGGTCTCATGAACTTCCAGGTACCGATGGGGTTCTCCGGGTTTGCGCTGGATATGATGCCTTTCCATGGGGGAGATCCATCAAACGACGCCTGGAATAACACGAACATGGAGGCCGCGTGTTATCAGGACTGCAACACAACTGTAACACTCATGCCGCTATCCGCCTCCAACCTTTCGAGTGGAAATACCTTACCGTCCCCTCTTACGCCATCACCGGGGGTCAGCTTCATGGCCGAGCCAGAATCCGTGGAGATCTCTAGGTTCATCCCGCCCTCGGAATCCCCAGAGGCCGAAACCAAAGCCACACTGGTTTCGCGGCGCAGAAGACAACCAACGTTCCCCAGGGTGATCGGGGGCCGAGTTCACAAGAAACCTCTCCCAAAGTACAAAGAGGGGCAGGTAATGTTCGACTCCATCGAGGGAAGAAATTCCGGGAATCCTCGTGCACCGTTTCAGCCCGAAAGACGCAAGGAAGTGGCAGCAGTCAGGGCTCGGGGGGCTTGCTTTAGGTGTAGGATGTCCAAGAGAAAGGTACTACACCATCCCCCAGCCATCGATGAAACGATTCTCACCTGCCTCCACAGTGCGATCTCCAACTCCCTTGTAGCAATTGTACGAGCTCTTCCAAATGCGCCGGTTTGGAATTCAGTGTTATTCCGTCAATGCCCTGCTTTCAGCTTGATTTGAACGGGTGTAGATTCTTCAGAACCAGTAGGAAAAACCATCATCATCCGAGTTACAACTTCTCAACGAAAGCTAATCAACCATCGATAGAATCCGCAGCATGGACCAAACCATTGCGGGAGAAAATGGTGTGGCGGTCAACCAGTCAAGTCCACCTACAGGTCCAATGCATATACCGCAACGGCCGAGGCCCTCGGTTTACAATTCCATGTCGGGAGTTCAAGCAGGAGGAAACAGACATCGTCACTAGGAAGTGGGGCCGTGAAGACCACCAGATCCTGCGAATTCCGACCTTTTGTGCTGCAAACTTGAGTGTTCTCCGACGACAGATGCCGGATATGGTCGATGAATACCATCGGGCCGCCATAGCGGAGGCGGTTGATATGCCGAGGGTGATGGTCGAGACGTTCAAGATCGCGACTGCACGCCAGGTACTCACTGTCCTGTTGCTACTTCTTCCTCATTGTACTGTCTCTAAAAAAAATATGATGAGGCGAACAGGATCGAGAACCTCTATTGAAGGCCGCGCTACAAATTTGGGCTGGAAGTCACTTCATAGCAGCGTCCCGTAAGAAACGCGTTCGCTTTCAGGTGACATCCGCGATTTACTAACCGTATCACAGGATCACTCAGGGGCGAGCATACTCTAAACATAACTCCGCTCGTCGGAGACGATAGCGCGCATGACCACGGGAACATACCTATTCCGCCGATGCTGGACTATCAATTGGACACGGTAGCGATCAAGTGGATGCGAGAAACGATGAAGAACATGCTCAAGGAGCTCTGGGAAGTCCTGAAATGCCACTCGGCGGAATCGTGGTTCGACGTGTTCCTCGTGATATTTATCCTGCTCAACAATCTGGAATATGTTTACGAAGCGCAACTAGAATACGCGCAGCAGCATGGTTCCGCCCGCGCCGATCACGACGTAAGTGCTTACTTTCCCTTTTCCCCGCTTTTACCCCGCTACGGTTCCCTACACCACATACACCACCATACGCAACACGTGCAGCTCACAGATGGGGATTGGCTGACGATACGGGGCGTCATGCAAGAGTGCAGAAGCGTTCCGATGCAAGATCAAGGAGCAGTCGGAGGAGATGTTGACACCATGGGAGGAGACGGCGGGATACCTGATTAAGGTCTTCAGGCACCATATCAAACGGTGCGCTCTATCGGAAGCGCCGCTGTTCTCGGAAGAATACTTTTCCACCGCCTCGCAAGTCGCGGGGCTCGACGAACCAGCGAAAGATTACCTGGCCTATCTGATCGGTTGGAGCAAGGGTGAACAATCCCCCACATTTTCCTCGCGGGGGGAGCTTCATCCTGTCTAAGTACTAATAGTTTGGACACACAGAAGTCGGGAAGGAACGCTCTTCGGGAAAGAGGGGTGGCTTCTGTTTTCAGACAAAGTGGTGCCGGGAGCTGGTTCTGGACAGAGAACTATGACGCCGAACTTCACAGACAGCGGACAACTATCCTGTCTACTCTAACTTACTACCCACACTATGAGATGGAGAGAATTGAGTTCATTGACAATCTCTTACTTACATCTGCCACGTCCGTGCGCGTGAATGGTGGTTGCTGAAGCTGGGGTGTGGGGGGGTTTTACACCATCGTCTTCTTCTTACCACACGGTATATATCAATTGCAAAGCATATTCCGACACGTACATTCCGCGGGGGGAAACAAGTTTACTTATTGGCTGCTATTTGAGAGCTATCGATTGTGAGAGGTCCCACTAGATACTTGATATCTAGGCCTCCGCGATTCCGGCTCGACTCCCTGCAGGCAGTACATGCTAAGTTCATGCTAGGGACCTTTTTACCAGCAGTGCTTGCTGATTTGTGTCGACTGAAGGCCATTGGTTGATTTACTTTGGTCCAAGCTTTCGAGCAGCAGCAGCTGCAGTGCCGATTCCCCGCCCTCATGAGAGGCCGAATGGTATCATGGGGATAGCAATATTATTATTTTTGCTGCTGCCCCACCCCCATCCACCACAGAGATTTGTTTCAAAGCTTTTCCGCGCAAACTCGCCGCCCCGCCGCCCATCGGCCGCGTCGCCGGTGGTGGTGTTAAATCGGGATCACGCCGCACTCGCCGCTATCTTTGCTTTACCAATACGTACGAACAGAACAGTGCAATGTCCTCACTTTCGATGTAAGTACATTACTTTTAACTGCTCGCCATCATTTATTCGATTAACGCAACAACGACGTGCTGTGTATTTAAACTCATTCCCGGTCCGGTCACCCGTTTTGTTTTCCCGTGTCTTCTGATCAGGCTGCATTGGAATCCTTTCAGACTACATACATTACAAAAAGCTACATTCATTACATTACAACGATGGAGAATGATAACGAGCAAACAGCACTTCCGTACCACCCCTCGCACGAGTCCCATCTGCTCCGCGTGCAGAACGACGGCTTCGAGATCGATCCCGACGAGAAGTACCTGCCCGAAGAATTCCCGAAGGTCATCGAGTCGCCGCTCGTCTGGAAGGGCGAGGAGGTGGCGGCCACGCCCGAACGGTGGATCCTCCAGCTGAGCAAGGACGATGTGGATGAGATCAAAGGAGCGATGGAAGTGTTTCTAGGTGAGTAATCCATCCATCAAACCACCATCCACCCATACATCCAACCATCCACCCCTCCATCCATCCATCCATCGGTTTCATCGAAAGCTTACATGTCCACTCCCCTCCACCAGACACGGGTGCACTGTTTAAGGAAATCTCGCCCGCGACGTTCTCGCTGAGTCCCGAGTTACGGGAGCGCCTTGCGAAGCTCCGAGACTCGCTGTACGACGGATTGGGATTCGGCCTGATTAAAGGCCTCAATTCTCGCGACTACACCATGAAGGAGAACATCGTCATCCACGCGGGTCTGACCAGCTACTTCGGTAGCAAGCGGGGGTACATGGGGGCTCAGGGGAACGACGTTCTGGGTATGCGACGAAAACATCCGTTGTCGATGGTGTCCAGGAGCTCCTACTGACGGAGGGGGGTGAAGCGCACATTCGGAACATCCAGCAGCACTTCCCGGGGCAAGATATCGTGTCCCCATCATTCACGAACGCGGCAATGGTTTGTCTGCCGCCATTCCGTCATTCCGTCATCCCCCCGTGTGTGTGCCGCCGCTAATGCGAACGGCCAGACATTCCACACCGACCTCGGCGACATCGTCTCCATCTTCACCGCGAGCAAGGGCACCTCCGGCGGCGCGTTCCGCATCGCCAGCGCCTGGAATGTCTACAACGTGTTACGCGCGACCCGTCCAGACGTGTTACGCACCCTGAGCCAGCCGTTCGTATTCGACACGTGCGTCCCTTCCCCCCCCCCCCCCCCCCCCCCATCCCTCCCCCCGCCCCCGCCCCGCTAACCCCCCGCAGCCTACACCCCGACATCCCCTCGTACCAAAAACCGCTGCTGCACTTCCACGCGGGACGGGTGCTACTGCAATCCTTCCGGCGGCCATTCACGGGCTTCGGCGGCACCGCGCGGTCCGACACGCTGCCGGCACTAAGCTCTGCACAGAAACTGGCGCTGGACACACTGCACTTCGCCGCGCTAAACAGCTCCCTCACCATCAACTTCGCAGACGGCGACCTCTGCGTCTTCAACAACCTCGCGCTGCTGCATGCTAGGGACCAGCACGAGTCGCCGTCCACGTCCCACTCCGAGTCCCACCCCGAGTCCGCGCCCGCGCCCGCGTCTGTGTCTGTGTCCGCGCCCGAGTCCACGTTCGCGACCACGTCCGCGTCCGAGTCCGGGGAAGCGAGTGCGCGCCACCTACTGAAGATGTTTGTCCGCGACGACGACGCGGAAAGGGCGTGGAGTATCCCACCCGTGGTACAGGATCAGTGGGATGAGCTGTACGGAAGTAGAACGGACCCGCGGACCGAGGACTTTCCGTTCGATTATCCGCGCGGCGGGACGGTGCCGAATTATGGGTGGAGTCAGAATGGTTGAATCGGGGATGACGGGGGGTGAACGGAGGGCGGGGTGTGAATGGGGGTGGGACGGACGGGGTGAGGCGACGGGGGCTAATGACGGGTCGGGCCGGGGATGGACAGGGGGGCGGGGAGGGGGCGCAGAGGCGTGTGGGTGGTTAAAGTGCATTCACGTGCACGTTCACGTTCACGTTTTCGACAGATTATTTCACCTGGCCAGCATTGGACGGTTTTATTCATTTATTTATTCTGTTTATTTCGTTTCAATCTCCACATTTTTGCATATGGGGGAGGTGGGGCGGGATACTCTTGTGTTTTGCTTTGAATCCTGGCGTAACTTTATTCCTTTTTCTTTGGTCTGATGAGAAATTGCTTATTCCGTCCGTTCCCTCCCCTCCCCGCAGCCCGTCCTGCCCCGTCCGGTCCTGTAGGATCTCCACATACATGCATTACCGTATGTAGCCACGCCCACGAACGAATGGCAGGTTAGAGTTTAGTTAGGATTCTACTTCCATTCCAATAGGCAGGCAGGCAATGCAACCGTACGGCGCGGACCCGCGGGAGCCGGGGCATAAACTCCCCACAAAAACAAAAACAAAAACAAAAGACGAAGAGAGAGAGCGTAATTGTATGTAGGAAGTACTCTTATACGTATGCACGAACAACTCACAAGCACCGAAAGAAATCGACATCATACCCAAGTAAAAAAAAGCAAAGAAAATAAACAAAAAAGAAGAAGAAAACAAACTCCACTTCGAACTCCACCTCGGCAGACAAGCAAGCAGGCAGGCAGGCAGGTAGGTACGCTGACGCCGACACTGCTTACAAGCAACCGTTTCAATCACCCGTATCCCGTATGTACCGTAGTTATCCTGGCAAAAACCAAAACCAAGACCAAAACCAATAGCGATATGTATGTAGCTTCACATGTGCGTCCATGTGTTCCGTTCCAACCCCCCGTCATCCCCCCGCCCCCTGCCCCCCGCCCCCTGCCCCGACCCGTCCCCCGCGCCCGGCCCACCTCCCGAGCCGAGCCGAGCCGAGCCGAGCCGAACCCGCCCACCCCACTCACGTCCCTAGTCCAGCCCTATCCCGTCACCGCCCCACGCCTCCATCTATCCCCGCCACCGCCCCAGTCCCCGTCCCCGCCGCCTTCCCAGGCAAACAAACCATCACCCTAACAACCAGCTCCTCGTCCTCACCCTGCACATTAACGACCATCTTCTCAAGCAACCTAAACCCGAGTCCCTCATACAGCCCTAATCCCATAGGCGAGCTTTCCACGCCCACAGCGGCGCCCTCCCTCCGCGCCTCGTCGATCCCCCACCTCGTCAGAGCGGTCCCCGCGCCGCGCCGCCGGAACGCTGGCAGCGTGCACAAAAGGTCCAGATGGAAGTTCTCGGGGTAGCGGGACGTCCAGTATGTGCTGTGTACGGAACTCATGACGGAGGAGAACGCGGAAAGGTGTAGGGGGTTGGAGTCGCGCCGGGAGTAGTGGTGCGTGAGCGACCAGGTTTCGAGGCGCGTTAGGATGCCTATAAGGGGGGGTTAGCAGGGGGGACAAGGGAGGGCGGGGGAACGGCGGGCTCACGGTGTAGGCGGTTGTAGCAGTTGTTGCGCTCGCGGCGGCGGAGGCGCGCGGCCCGCGACCGCCCGTTACGCTCCCAGAGACCGAAGGCGATGATGGTTTCCGCCTGCGGCGGGGGTGGTGCGGGGGATAGGGCGTAGTGGGCGGATTTCTCCTCGGTGGGGGCGGTGAGTGTTGCGACTAGGAGCGTGAAGCGCGGGTTGAATAGGTGCCCCTTCAGCGTCTGCTGCCAGAAGAAGTAGTTGTCCTCTGGGTACTCGTGGCGGTGTGACCACAGGTAGTCGAATGTTGGGTCGTCGGGCAGGCTGTCCACCGCTACGCGGGCTATGCGGGCGATGTCCGGGAAGGCCGCCGGCCGGACGGTGATATTGCCGCCGCCGCTGGTGCCGGTGCCGAGGCCGGTGATGTTGCTGCTGGTGTTGCTGTCGCTGTTGCTGATGGTGCTGCTATGGTCTTCGCTCAAGCTCGACGACATCGGTACCTGCCTATGCCGAATCCCGTGACTGATTGTTTGTTTTTTGGTTTGATTGTTTGTCTTGATTTGTTTCGTTTATCGGCACTGTAACTGTAACCCTTTGATATCGATATCGCCAATACTAATATTTTTCCACATTTTGCACGAGGAGTCATGAAGGGGGGAGAAGCCGGGCCTTTTGTGCTTCCCCCCCTCCGCGCTATCCATTGTTTTGCCTCGACTCGAACTCAAACTTGTTGAATGAAATTTCTGACATTTTGGCTTTCTATGGCGGGCTTGCCCTGAGTGTTTTTTTTTTCAAAATAAGTGCCCCCTTCTCACCGCTTGCTACAATGGTCAGGTATACACATACATAAGGATTTTATCAGTAATATAGTTATGCGAAACTGAGGTCGATAGCTACCAACCATGTGAACCGAAAGTATGACAGTATCAGACAACGATTCGAAGTGGGGGTGCACCTCCGCACACGCGAGACACGATTTGATCGAGGTTTGACAGACTTGACACACACCCGGCGAAACACGACGACAGTGGAACACACCGCGACACACGACGACCAACCCCTCGTGAGCACAAGACGGTCTTTCTCCCCAATCTCAGCCCCTCGATCCATGGCAATCTTTGTCGACTCAAGTCAAGGGCTTTTGATTGAGCCGTCCCCCTCACGTTCATGGTGGGCGGGCAGCTATGTATGGCATATGCGGTGTAAACACCGGGGTGTGTAGGTAGGTATTGGCACGTCGTCAAGCAGCCAGCCAGCGAGCAAATGCAAATGCAAGTGCACTAAAGTGTTTTTCCCCCAACAATGCGTTAAAATGCTGAGGAATAAAGAAAGTCTTAGCGAATAACCGGCGGAAGTGCTGGGGCGGAAGGAAGGAGGGCGAGAAGGACGGAATGAGAGTGGATCCCCTCTCTTCCCGAGGGGTCGCAGGCGGTATGGTATGTACGATACCCTCTCTCTCTAATCACTACCGGACGGAGGGAGCTATTGTTGCTCCACTCCACTCACTCCACAGCAGTCTGCGGAGTTGAGCCCAGAGGAGTTCTGCCGCTCGACGGCAGAAGTGCTGCTCGATCCAACCGACAGCTGTGTATTTGGTTAGCAACCGAATGCAAGGCGAGGCGAGGTGGGAAAAAGAGCAGACAGTACATACAGCGCTCAGCTGTCGTGTTGCTGCTTGTGCTTGTGCTTCTGCTTCTGCTTCTGCTTCTGCTGTTTTCTTTCGCAGCTTCTTCTTGCGTGACAATGAAACGTTTAGGGCGGCTGCGGAAAGAAAGAAAGTCCACAGGTATGACGAGGGCATGTTCATCGTTCCCAGGGTTCTAGACGACCGTGCTCTGCGTATGCGGCTATTTTTCTTCTTCCGTCGAGACTCGACTCGAAACGAGAGAGAGAGAGATCTGGATCTCTGACGAGCGACCGCCGACTTCGAGATACCGTACCATGCGGGGTTCGAGCTAGACTACCGTACTATGTAGTACCGTATACGACTGCGCACGAAGCTTCAATCTCGAGTCGCGACGGCCTTCGGAATCGGAATCGGAATCTTGTCTGCGCTGCCTGCAGAGTCAAGACAGACAACCTGTACACGCTGCAGGTTAATCAAGAGAACTGCAAGAGAACTGCAAAAGAAAGAAAGAAATAAAGAAACAGGGAAAAAACATCAGTCGAAAGGGAGCGCGCATGGCCGATCAGGCGGCACCCGTCGTGCAGAACCACCAGATGTCGAGTTCCGAACAACACGAACACCTACTATGTATGATGTAGTAGGTAGTCCGTATCCCCCCTGCTGGCTTCCGGTGCAGATTCGCCTCGTCTCTCGTCTCGTGAGACTTTCGCACTTTGCACTTGCACTTTGCGAACGTGAATTTAGCGATCAAGTCGAGTCGAGTCGAGAGAGAATGGAAAAAGGGTGTCGGAACTCGAAAGCACCGGACTAGATTCAAGAATACTCAAAGCCGTCGAGGTCGGTCGGTCGCTGATGAACTTGTTTTAACCGGCAGGCAGAGTCTTCTCCGAAAACAGCTCTGCTCTGTGTTTGCCGGAGGCTGGACAGAGACGTGAGGAAGAAAAATCTGCATGTACGTCTGTGAGTAATCTGTAGAAAGAAGAAAAAAAGTAAGAGCACTGAGCTGACAGTGCAGCACGAGGAAGCCTGGTGCACCGGAGCGCACTCGATCAGAGAATGTGCATGTGTCCGAGGAGGTGCAAGTGCCCGAGGAGGTAGCCGCCCGGAACACGTGCAACGGCACAGCGAGCAGAAGGGGATATGACGCAAAGAATCGCCGTGGCCTGGAGGTGCAGAGACGGAACATGTGGAATGGCCTCGAGATGCAGAGGCAGAACGTGTGGCATGTGGCATGCCCGCTGTCAACCCCGGGATCGGGCGGTGATGTAGGGTATTCAGCCTTGCTGTCTTATCGATAGCTAAGGTTCGATCGCTCCGTCGTCGGTTAGTTGGGGGGGATCTCGGCCTGTCGATCGTCTCGCCATCGCCCGCCTTCCGGCCAGTCTTTGAAACAGCGAGGGAAAGCTCCGGCTTTATACCTGCTCGGTGCTCGGTGCTCAGTGGTCAGTGCCCAGTGCGAGGTGTCAGTGCTCAATCTTCTGTCTCCTGGCGGACCGCTGGCGGACCGCTGGCTGGCTGGCTAGCGGGCCGGAGCACGGACGCATCTAAGATCTGAGCTCACAATCCGACCGGTTATAGTTGGCCGATGCTATGATAACGGACAAGGGCTCGGGGCGGTTGGGGCTCAGTCCAGTCCTCGCTTTTCTGCGCCGGCTAACTGCATATGGCCGGGGAGGGGGGGAGGGAGGAGGCCCTAGAGTCCGTATGTCACGGTCCGAACACCGGCCGGCGAGGAACTCGTTGCATACGCCGCAGCCTTACTCCTACACACCCTACAGCTGTCAGCTGCAGGTGCAGGTGCATCACCACCAAGACCAGGGTCGGACCGCCGTCGTGGTCGTGATGATCATCGCGAAGGACTAGCTACGTCTGGATAGGTGGGGGGGGTGGGACTTATGCAAGTGCTGAGGCACTGGGGACGAGATGACTAAAAGATAGAAGACCGATTGCATTTGACTAGAGAGAGAACCGACAATGAAAGAAAAGAGCCACCTGTGTTCTTCAGGTGGTGAACCTCAAGTACCCCGAGTTGAATATCGATCCACCCCACATATGCTCAGCTTCACTATACTGTGCACAGTTACCTCGTACCCAAATATGTAGTGCTCACAAGCAGTGCACCGTCTGTGCGCACTGGCTGCACAACACATCACAGCACATCTTATCGCAGCCGCTGTGCACACCACACCGGGACCAGGCCTTCCACACCGGGACCAGGCCTTCCACACATGGCCACGGCTATTTCCCAGGCCAAGGAAGATCTGTGTCCGCACGACGACAGCCATCTTCGGATATCCTTACAAATGTCCACCCACGTAAGCGGTGCGATGGGCACAGCAAATTGGCTCGTGCCCTCGACGCATTTCGCTCCCCCCCCCACGGAATCCTTACGCTGGGGTCTTTGCACAGAGTTCAAGCATTAGTCCCCAAAAACCCTAGATGATGCTTTTGATACCTACCCGTCTTACGTACACCTGCATCTTCCCGCCTGCCCCTAATTAACTAAGCAAGCAGTGCCGATCCGTATCCATTCCTTCCTCCCCGCCTACCTCCCTTGACTGCCTCCCTCCCTGACTACCCCCTACTTCGTCCTACGTAGCATGCCCAAGTACCTGCTCTCTACTTCATACCCACCTCGCCTGTCTTTGCCCCCCCACACCTCCAGCCCTCGTCGACAACTCCGAGAGATTCGGGTCGGGATCAACCACCTCCAACAGCTCCATCAGTACATCCTCCAGCCTCCGCTCAACCGTTCGCATCACATTTACACGCTGCGTGGCCGACATGATCGGCGGCAGTGCACACGGTGCCACCACGTTGCTGCTCCTGCTGACGTCGAGAGCGTGCTCGGCGAGCATGTTGCACACGGCACACGGCGTGTGCGAGATGCCAACCAGACCACCGATGCACTGGAATTCGGACGTCGCGAAGGGATTGTTCGCAGGGTCATGGTAGGCGGGACGTTGGTGAGATCTGGAGTGTGGGATGGTGGATTTCTTCCCTCTCTTAGCCTTGGCCTTTTGCGAGGAGCGCTCCACCGCGGCCGACCTCAGTCCCGCCAGCGCAGCCAGAGGATGGACACAGCCCTCGAAAGTCCAGTCCCCGAGGAGCTTCTTGAGCGGACTCGCCCGATCCGCCTTCCTGGCCTCGTCGCGAAAGTGGGCGATCAGCATGTCAGCATGCTCCGGTTTGAATATGCGCGGGCAGCCCTCGACGACGCTGCGCACCACGTCCTCCCACGCCGCCATTCGGCGGTCCCCCAGCTTGCACCGCACGATGGCCACATCGCAGTCCTGCAGCACCTTGCGCAGTGTGCAGAAGCCACGCGATCCCTGGAACCGGTGCACACATTCCATCGGCCGGTATATGAGCTTCAGCCACTCGGCGCAGGCTCGCGCCCACAGGCTGGCCCCTTGGGCTAGAGGTCGGACGGAGGGGCCGCGGTAGATCGTCCCCGGCCGCGGGAGCTCGAGGATGTCGTGGACGGATCGCGAGGTGGCGTGCCGCTTGTCTTTGCCCAGCACCGCGGCGACCCAGTGGAGGTGGGATTGCAGGATGCCCGAGGAGTCGTGGAAGAGGTTGTAGAAGACCCGGACCGAAAGGTGGATGTGGCGGTGCAGGGTGGTGAAGGCGGCTTTCTCATCCTCTGGCAGGCCAGTGCGCGGGGACGAGGACGCGTAGGATTCCAGCTCGGTGAGGTTTCGGGAGAGCTGTGTGAGGCTATGGATGAGGAAGGAGTTGAAGTCGAGGCAGGTGGTGGCGTTGTATATGGAGTCGATGGCCGGATCGAAGCCGATGAATATGTCATCTTTGTCGTTGGCCTCCTGTTGTAACTCGGGCGTATCTCCGTTCGTACGGACTTCCGGCTGCTGTCTGTACAGCTTCTCACCCATGTTCAAGCATTCCTTTTTCCCCTTCTCCTTCTCGTCCTGTAGACATGGCTGCGTCCCTTTCCCTTCCCCTTCCCCATTGACCTCCGTTGCCGTTTCGACTTTCATTTCACCGGCCTCCCACCGACGACGCCTCTCACACGCCCTCCACAGGCTCGGCCACTTCTCTTTCGGCCCACCGAGCACCGCAATCCTGGTCCACAGCCTCGCACCCGTCTTCAAATTCTCTGTGAACCCCGCCTGCTCGCCCACCCACCTGTTCCCCAACTCGCCGTCCACCCACGTCCTCGCCGCCACCTCCTCGAACGCACCCAAGAACAGCCCTCTCCCCGCCTCCAGCTTCAGCAACATCTTACCGCATTGGCGGAACAGCATATAAAAATCCAGCACCTGAAACCTCTCGTACCTCTCCTCTGGCCCGGCGCACTCCCTAAACACCCTATGCAGCCAGCCCAGAAGGACGCCGACATGGTGCTCCAGCGGCACACTCGGATTCTCGAGAAAATACGGCGTGAGCTCCTGCAGCGCCGTTTCCGCCACACCCCCAAACTCGTGCGGATCCACCTCATGCACCTCTACCCCCCTCCCCCTCCCCTCCCCGCCCCCTGCACCATCCCCATCTCCATCCTCACCATCATCCTCACCCTCACCTCCAGAAACGAAAATGTACACGCACGGCCGCATCACGGACGGGAACCGCTGGTACCGCACGCACACTGCGATCTGCTCCGACGCCCGCCGGCTCAAAAGCTCTGCCACGCTGTCGAGTCGCCGCGTGTACGGCTCCACTATCGGCACGGTGATTTCGAGCGCTCGTGCTGGCGAGAGGCTGCTGGAGAGGATGTGCAGCAGCGTGGTGAGGGCGCGGAAACGGTGGTCGGCTGAAGTGGCGGCTGAGGAGGAGGTGGTGGTGGTGGAAGGATGGGATGCATGGGGTGGGCTGGATGGGTGGGACATCGTGGCAGGCTGGTGGTTTGGGGGAGGGAATGAGGGGAGGTGAAGTCGGATACCTAGCAGAGAGGAGAGGGGGGTGGGCAACTGACGTAGACATTTCGCTTCGTGTTCCCGTGCTCGGAACTGGGCTGCCGGCACGGTGCGGAGGAGGGCCAGTGCGGTGGACTACCATCGGAAGGCGGATCTGTATGTACCTACATACATGATATATGATGGAACAATCGCGGGTATGTATTCTTCACTCCCCTCCCGGTACTGGCTGTGGGACGGAGCAGTAACTCGTTACCAGTCCCTCTCCTCGACCGCGGTGGATTGAGTATTCAAACGCAACCACAAAATATCACTCGGCGGCGAGTGATAACCACTGATATGGAGACCCCCGGGAGCGGCCGATTACATACTCACTCACTCACTCACTCACTCACTCACTCCCAGCCGATCGACTGACTAATCAGCACCCAACAACTAGTATAGTTATCCTCCACCTCGCTTACGGACTTAAGGAGGGGGAGAGTCAAGGTTCAAAACCAAACACTCACCACTATGCCCTACGGTGGTGCGTTTTGAGTGCAGCCGAGCTGTCGGACAGTGCCACAGTTGACTGTCTGCAGGGTTCATCCTGGAGGGGGGAGGTCGAACGATCTTTTGAGTATCTATCTATCGATGCACCTACTTGTGTACCTGAGTATGTAGACATGTACCTGGTAGCCTGTACTGTGTAGCCTGTAGGAAGTAGGTAGGCCAGGCCGTAACCGCCTGCTAATTATACACATACACAACCGGCCAATCGAAGGCTCGAAGAGTCGAGAGCGAAGAGTCGAACGACAAGAATCAAAGAGTCGAAAAGTCGAAGCACTCGTCAAGGAGCACACGTCAAGAAACAGCCAACGAGTAGCCAACGAACGGCCAGTACCTACCATAGGCAACGCATTCGCATCAGCAGAATCTGCCCACTACCTCCCAAACTCTTCCGATATGTACCTGGCGGGACCGGATCTCGGACCGACCGTGGCCCTGAGGCGGTTACTCTACTAACCGGGCATGATACCGTGTGATCTGATGCTGTGCTTTGCGATGGATCTGGCGTTCGTTATGTTTAGCACCCGAGAGCAGGGTGAGGTACTCTGTGTAGGTGTGTATGTTGGTATTCTGTCTCGCGGCTGTCACGGTGATATGTACGCAATGCGCAGAATGTTCCCCAAGAAAAGAAGAATTACCATTCCAAAAATCCCATCCTCCAAAATCCATCTGCCAATATCCATCCACCAATATCCATCAAGCCTACTCAAGGTACTCAAGTAGTTATCTACATACAAAATCCAGTCCAAAAGTCCAAAGCCGTCCGCGTATATCCAGACATATCCCCCCATCCTCCCATCCCACCTGTCCCTCCCCCCAATCGCGGAACAAAACCAAAAATTATCACCACAGCACACATTTCAAAAGAGAAGAAGAAGAAGAGAAAAGAAGAAGGAGACGGGTATCAGAGAATGATAAGAAAGAAAAAAGGTACAGATACAAGTACAGATACAGAAACAGAGCAAACGGAAGAAATTTGTAAAGTAGAAAAAGTAGAAAGAAGTATAGAAGTGAAGATAATCGTATCGTGTCGTCATAAAGCCCCATTCCCTCCCCCTCCCCCCTCCAATCCAATCCAATCCAATCCAATCCAAACCTAAACAAAATTCCAAAGAAAAAAAAACTCCTATTCTCAATCTCCTGTAATGATGTGCTGAAGTGAATTCCAAAATTCCCAATGGTGAAACGAAAAGAAAAAGAAAAAAGTGGGGAGCAGTGAATGCTCAAGAATAATAAACAAAAACAAAAACAAAGGAATGAAGAATGAATGCAAATGTTGGAGGGAAACAAAAACAAAGAACAAAATTAAACGCTACGCAAAACCTCATCCCTCCTAGATCATTCCAACACCTCCGGCGCCCTTGAGTGTCGGTGCCGGCGACATCGCACGCCGAGCCCTCATCTGCTCTTCCATCTGGTTCATCTCGTCATAGTATGCCTCGGGATTCGAATACTGTCCCTGGTAGTCTTGTCCCTGGTAATCGTACTCTCCACTGACACCCCGTTGACCACCGCCGCGATCACCTCTATCCCAGCCGTAGTCCGACTCGGGAGTCATGTCGAGACTCCCATTGTGCCTCCTGACACTTCGGTCCCTTGCGTGTGGATCCTTCTTCTTTCCCGGCTCGAGATGCATCTGCAGCGCCGAGTGCACCGGGAAATCCTTGGGCAGCGGTGGCGGAGAAAGCGGCATCGGCGGCAGCTTGCGGATGAGCGGGATGAATGTTGGCTCGCTGTTGTTGCGCGAGTGCGAGTTGCTGCGGGCGACGCTCGGCAATGGCGGCGGCTTGTCGTATTCGTTGGTCGAGGGACTGCCGTAGTATTGGTTGCGCGGGTTGTCGTCTCGGCCGCGGGAGCGGGAACGGCCACGTGAGCGACTCGGTGCGCGTACTGGGGTTCGCGACCGGAATTGCGATGGCTGTGGTCCTGGTGTCATCGAGCGGGATAGTGCTGGAGTCGTTGACATGGAGCGACTATACTGCGGGCCGGGAGTCATCGAGCGATACTGTTGAGGAGGCGGCGGGGCCGGCGCGGGTGTCCTGGCGCGGAACTGCTGCTGCTGCGGGGGTCGTGGAGTTGGAATACTCTCATAGGGTGCCTCGGGTGGAGACATTGCCATTGCTGGGAGCGGCATGTCCTGGATGCTCTCGTACGGAGCCGGTGCCATGGCCATCGCCATCGCCGGTAGCGGAGGTGGTGGTGGCGGTGGCGGTAAAATGCTCTCGTAGGGTGACGGTGCCGGAGAGGAAGCCATGGAAAGACTCCCGAGTGTCACAGGCGGCCGTGGAGCGCTCTCGAAGGGAGTCGGTGTCAAGCCGCGGTGGACCGGAGCCGGCGACATGGTGCGGCCCATACCGATCGAAGGAGACATCGTCCGATGGGATGGTGGAGCTGGTGACCTCAACCGATGCCCTGGACCCGGAGAGATATGTCTTTCCATCGCACGAGGTGGAGGAGACATCATCCGGGGCGCTGGAGACATGTGTCGTTCCATGCCACGTGCAGGTGGAGCAGGAGCTACCGACATGCTACGGGGTGGGGAACGTCCACGAGAAGGTGCCGGGGAATTTCCACGCGAGTTCGCCTGTAGTTCTGCTCGCCAGACCTTGGGATTGGAAGGAAGACCACGAATCGACAAGTTACGGGACATAGTGCTGGGAGTGGGAGTAGCGCCACGGTTGAAGGTGTAGTTGTCAGTAGCGCCGAGGTCGCCGCGCTCGAGTGTGTCGCTCCATTGCCGGAGGGTGCGCTCCGACCTAGAATGGCGGAGGCCGTGTCCCTGGAACTGAGGTTGAGGGTCGCGAGTGCGAGAGTCCATACGTTGGCGGCCCCGGGTCTGACTTTGAGCGGTCCGTCGAGGTTGCCGGTGATATTCTTCCTCCTCGTGTTGGCGGTCGACCTCCTCGGACATTTCCTGGTAAAGCTTTGCCTGGGGTGTGAAGGGAAGCGGGCTCGACGGCGATCGGACGTGCGACGCCTTGATCTCCTTAACGCGACCCCTTCCTCTGCTGCGATTCCTAGATGGAGACGGACGACGAGATTCCTGTCGAGGAGATGTGTAGTATCTCTCGTCCTCGTAATTATCACGACCTTGTTCTGGCGATACCGGGCTGGGAGACCTTGCACGAGGGTAACCTCTAGCAGCACTGCGTCCCCGAGGCTCGTCGTATCGCGGCTCGTTAAACTGCGGAATCTGGTATTGTGGCTCGATCTCGACATGGATTGGCTCGTCCTTGTACAGCGCTGCTTGAGGTGAGAACGGAAGAGGGCTAGATGGGGACCTCATGTGCGAGCGCTTCACTTCGGCGGTGCGCCCCCTAGGTTCCCTCTCGACACTCATCTTGCGAGGATATGTTCGCTCAGGTGAGATCCTACGGGTGCGCTCCTGAGAACCCCTCCTCTGACGAGGGGAGGCCCGTTGATCGTCAAGTCTCTTATTACCCTTCTCGATGAGGTCGATGAATTTCGCGTCTTTAGAATCTTTGCGATGGAACTGTCCAGCGGGAATCGGAGGCGAAGCTCGTGAACCCGCTCGCTGACGACCGGCGATCGGAGGTGTGCCTTCACGAAGTATAAAGTCCATGGGAGGGAACTGTATCTGTAGACCCACCGGTTTATTCGGCCGCAGAGATGCACTGCTCTGGGCCCGAATGATCGGATCCGGAGGAGGGCTGGCCACACGCAGATTCGGAGTCGGCATCCGGTTGATCGGACCGTGGTTGGGCGGATTCAGTTGGATCGACGGATTGCGGTTATGAGGAGGAGTTGGCGCACGTTCCATCTTGTTGAAGTCGCCAAGGGTCACCGGCTTACTCTCGAAGAAGCCATTAGAGTTGCGAGTAATGATCGGAGTAGATATTTCTCTGCCAGGCGGTGGAGGTGGTGGCGGTGGGGCAGGTGCCATGGCCATTTGTCCCATCGGCTGGTGTGCGAACCGTTGGATCGGAGTCTTGTCCAAGGGTGAAGCCTCAGTCACGGGTGTCAACTTGGTGTTAGCATTGTTCATTCTGGTGTTTGGGAAGTTATCGCGCCCGGCCCAGAACGGGTCGACCGGTGTCAAGGCGGACATGGCGATCGGAGTCGAAGTAGCCGAACGAGAAGGACCTGATGCTCCGTAGAAGAAGCGGTTCACACCGGCAATAATGCTGCTGGACGGTGAGGTGGTTTGCGAGCGTTGAATAGGATCCTTGGCCTCCACGGGAGCAGGGAAATCCGTGATGAGCTTGAGCGGTGAGTTCTTCGGCGTCATCTTCAAGGTCGTCCGGGGATTGGACGGTGAACTAATAGACAATTTTCGCGTAAGACTGTTGCCGCCGTCATTATCTGAGCGGGAACGTGAGTGTCCAACGGATGGAGTGCGGCTTCTTTGAGGCCGCTGCTCCGGTGCTGACGGCGCATCGGTATCGGAACAAGCAAAGCTAATCGCTACGGTTAGCAAATTATCTGCATGCATGCATGCATGTCGCTGTCAGAACTTACCATCGGGCGGCTAAAGTCCCATCATAGCAATCTGAGGCGTATTGGCCCCACTGACGAACCAACCCAGATATGCGCTTCCAATCCTTCTTCCACAACAAACACGTCAAGAGAACAGCCTCGCTGTGTCACAGTGTCAGCCAACAGGCATCATCAAGGAGACGAAGAAACCCTTACAGGTATAGCTTGTGCGAGATATAAATTTCCACAGCGTCATTCTTATCGCCGATAGCGAGGAGACACAGCACTGCAGTATGTATTTCACCCTTCTGCAAGAGCTTTAGGACGAAAGCCCTTGCCACGTGGGTCCATGAATTCTGGCCACCTGATTTGTAGACATTAGCATCTGCGAGAGTACTGAACCGCCCTCGATCCCCGGGGATGACCCCAGATCATACGAGGTGGAGTGGGGTCAGCTTACCCATGGCGCTTAAAGCGAGAAATAACCAATCCCCAGAGACGCTGAAGTCGGCGCCTAGCATCACAGCCAGCGAGTTCTGATCGAGGTCACCCAACCACATCCGTAGAACCAGTGAGTTCAGGGACCGAGCATTCACAGATTCCACTAAAAAAAAATAAAAAAATTAGATCTACGCGATTTCCAAGTTTTCGGATAGGAGAGATCTTACACTCATCGCCGATCAGCTCTTCGATATCACCCTTCCAGCCAAAGACACAGAAAAGCATTTCCTTCCGGTGATCATCCTCGGAAAGTTTGTTCTGACGGCCACCGTCCCGAGGACTCTCGTAGGTAACGGTATTCAGGCGTATCCGCAGATTTGCGAAGATATCGGTAACATGTGCGAGGGAACCAGGAAGAGCCTTGACGGGAACTTGTGTCGTCTCGGGGCTGATGTGAATTTCGTGTCTCAGGGGGTGTGTTTTGCGACTGGTGATGGATGGCCTGCGACCAACGACCGGTGAACCGGAATATTGCTCCCTCTGCTCGATGGAACCAGCAGACGCCTTGCGATCTGTTGTTGGCGGTGATGAATATTGCTCTCTCGGTTCCATAGAGGCAGTAGAGCCCTTGCGTCCCTGCTGTGGCAGGATAGAATATTGCTCAATAGATCCAGCCGATCCCTTGCGGTCGAAGCCCGGACCTGGTGCGGGCGCTGGTGCGGGCGCGTACTCGGGAGCGGGTGCGGGTGCCGGTGCGGGCGCATATGCGGGTCCGGGCGCCGGTGCTGGTGCTAGTGCTGGTGCTGGAGTGCCGCCCCTGGATACAGAAGAACCATAGTTGCGCCGAAGCTCCGCGCTTCCCCTTGATCCCCTAGAGCTTGTTGATGATGGTCTTTGACCGACGATATTGGCTATTCCCAAACCCTCCTCGCGATACTCCATCGGTTCCAGGTGTTCGGGCTCGTGTAGTGTATGACCCATCGATGACGCCACGGTCATGCTGTAATCGTCCTGCTGTTGGTTTTGCACCACAATCACCGCGGTCTCGTCGTTTTCTCCGATAAGGTCTACCGGTGGCGACGGTGGTAGCATCGGCGGGTCGTGGTGGATATTTGCCACCAGTTGTGGAGGATACAGCATGTACTGCTGCACTGTATGATCCTTCGACAATGTGAATAACGATCCATGCGGACCATAGATGCATATTCCGACGACGTTGTTCGGTGTTGGCACTTCCTCCCAGGTCACGTTCTTCGTCCGGACATCCCACACAGTGGTCGCACTAAAAATAACATCAGTTGAAACGTTCCCCATTTTTTATTTTTTTATACCAACGAATGGCAGCTGCAGGATTCCAGGTGGTGGCGCAGCTTACTTACCCCGCAGAATACTGTACGATCCGACCATTCCGAGACCATCCCAGCCAGTTGTTTCCCCGTCCTGAAGCTTCGGGCCGCTTCAATATGCGCACTACCCGTGCACTTTCATCGCCGTCCAGCGACTTGGGAACACTCCACACACGCAGGTCGCCGTCCCTGGTTTGGACAGCCAACATATCCGACTTTTGTTTCGACGAAGAGGCGTGCCATGCTAATGTTGTGATGGTTGAGGGCTGCATCGAGGTGGTTGTGAGAGTGTGCAGTATAGTAAAAGCCGGCGACAAAGCTGCAATGAGTACCGAGCCATTGTTGTACCTATTGTGCAATATGCAGAGTCAGAACGTGTATCTGGAACACTGTGGCATGCACACGTACCCCAAAGCGAACGCTTTGCAGTCGGCAGTTGGGGCGATCGCACACAGAGGGTCGAATATCGTGCGCGCCGTTATCGCATCTGCGTTTTCTGGGTTGAAGAGTATGAGATTGCCCAAGGAATCACCTGCCAGCCAGCCAAAGAGTCAGAAACGACGGCCTGCGAGAAGAGCAAACGCCGGAGGAAATGTGACAATACCAAAGACCAGATTCCCGTTCTTCATCCACGATGCGACCAGAATATCCTCGTACGCCTCGTACTGCGAGAGCACTTCCCCGGAGTCGATATCCCAAACGATCGCAGTCTTGGATTTATCCACGCTGACGACTCGCGTCGCAACGACATCACTGATATTGTCGACGGCGATGATGGTCACATTCTCCTTGTGACGGACAAACCGCCGTTCCGCTGCCAGAGAGTCGTGTTGTAGGCAGAGGATCGATGAGCCTTGCGCCTGGAGGACGAATTGTGACGAAGCATAACACGGTAGAAGTTCTGGGATATCGTCGCGAATGACACTGGCGACCGAGATTGTCGAGTTGGGCCTGGACCCGATGGATCCTTTGCGGGACATTGTGAGGCAAGAAGCGGCCAATTCGCACGCGTTATTGTGGGGACAATAGTGAGTGCCTGTAGACCACTAAACACTTTATCCTTTGGGTGAGGTTTCGCCGATAGAAACGCAGACCAAAAAGTTGTCGACTGGGCGGGGGGGAGGGGGGGGTGTGGAGACAATCGGCCCTTCTTTTGTATTGGCGACGGCCTGCTGGCAGCTAGGATATCAGTTGATATATGTACTTTTTTAAAACCCCGCACCACGGCTGCCGAAGTTCTTCAGTGAGTGTGTGGCCTCGCAGACCCCCCCCCCCCCCCCCTCCCCCGGAGCAGTATGTATGCGGAGGAATTAAAGTGGCGGGATTGGTATGCGTGGAATAAAAAGGTCCCACCCACCCACACACACACACAGCAGGTAGAGTAGCAGGGAGCGAGCTACATACCTATCCAACGAAAGTCCAACACAACGGTACAATCCGGCAGCGGGCTGTGAGGAGCGGGAGAAAGAAGAGGACGCGAGATGTATGTACAGAGGCGGAGAAAAGGATGAGCAGGTCGACGTTTAACAGACGCGCAGAAGAGGGGGTTCCTCAATGATGGCGGTCGAAACTCGATTATTGAGGCGTCGGTTATTCATTGGACGGTTCGAGCTGTTGGTATGTATAGATGCTTGGAGGCAAATTGCCCCATCGCCCAACGGATGCCGCACATTGCGGTCCAGCCATCCAGATGTACTGGTCACGTCAGGGCGCGTAGAAGAGCCGGGGCAGGTGGTCGCTGATATTGATACGACGAACCTTGAAGCGAGAGGTCTTGGATGGGGCCCTGTATTCAGGCAAGTCTCGAAGGCCGCTCTCTGTCTGTGCTAAGCAGAAGGAGTGAGTTAACCTCTTCGAACTGATCGGTAACTACTCACTTGGCTAGTGTTTTTGTGGTGATGGTGCTCCTGCAGAACCCCTGGATGTATGCACATGCAAGGTAGGCGGAGTGTGCAGCAGAGATCGCTGAGTGGTCGAGGACTCGAATCCCATCACAGCAGCGAAATATTTACCCTGCAAATAGCCATTGACCCCGAGTGGGGATGGGGGGGGGGATGGAGAGGATGGGGGGGGGGGGGGGGGGGCTCATCACCACGGAGGGCTGAAGAAGAGTAGTGGGCGGTGATATGAAGGAAGTGGGCCCTACTGCAAGGGAACTGTTGGATTGGGCTGTTGCTGCGATGCGGCGGACAGAGGGAACAGGGGGGGATGCCTCTTTCAGAGCGTACCCCAGGTCATGTCCCCAAGCCGGGAATAGTGGCTGCAGTTGTGCAGTTGTGTGAGCAAAAGTGGTTGTGTTTTCCTGCTCCAAAGAGCCCTCCGTCCTCCTTCCTGCTGAAGTCTCAGCAGAGCATCTAGCTCAGACAGCCCTGCCGGTCAAGGTAGGTGCTGCAGGCTCGGGCCGTTGCTAAATCGTTGATCTCGCGGTGGGCGCTTATGGTGTAGGTGCTCGACGGCACTATCGAGCACTAGTTAGAGTAGTAGGTGCTCTCGTTACTCCATGGTGCCAGGTACTCGCACGTAGGCGACCGGATCTCACCACCTTAGTTGATAGTTGATAGCTGCTGTGGAGCGGGCATCATGCAACAATATCATATCATCTCGATGGAAACAATCTGGTTGGTGGCCGAGATGATGATCGTGTTGGTGGTGGTGGTGGCGATGAGGCCGCTACCGCTGGTGAGGAAAAGAGATGCTCAAGGAGAAACAGATGGGTGGAAGAGTCAACCTCACGGCCTTTCAACACACCACTCCGAGCCCAACCAACTCCCCTCCCCCGACCCCAACGTTAAACGTACTCTATTCTACATAGCATCGCTCGTGGGTCATCCACGGCCATCTCTCCTGCCTGCTTCCTCTTCCAAACCCCCCTCCCCCAACGTCGACAACGGAGCAGAGAGTCTAAGGGATCCCCCGGCGAAAGCTTCTGCATTTCCGCTTCGCTCCGAGCTTCGTCGTGTTCTCCTGGCTTTGACTGGAGCGGTGACGACTGCGCCGTAGGGTGGTGGACTCAGCTCCATATATCCATGGCGATTCATCATTCGTCTCTGCAACCAACCGACGCTGCTGCTCCTGAGGCTTTCCAATCGGCGTTGTCGTCCCGTACGGCGTTTGGAATAGAGGGAAAAATGGTGCACGTTTCCTCCCGTCCGTGGAGTAAGATGTACCTGTTGCCAACGAGCAGCCAATGTCTTT